AAAACTTCTGTTTTATACTTTCTTCTTTAGCAGGATTTCTTTTTTAAGTCCTCAAAATATAAAATATTGTGTATAAATTGTGTAAACATGTATGTTCTGTTTGGGTCTAAATCTGTGTTCTCATTGGTGTAAGATTTTTTAAGGCTTTGAGTACACTGTGCAGATTCCAGTTTGTGCAGGTGTATCCAATTGTCGACATTTACCACAACTCTATCTAGAAAAAAACGTCTGTCATGACGTAATGTTTTGGTAAGTTAAGATCACAGTTCAAAGGTTATTTTCATTCTGGAAAGCAGATGTTCTGCGTGATTGCTTTCAAAACTTGTAAGCAAAATGTTCTCAGAGATCATTTCAATTGACCAAAGAATGAATGGAAGGTATTTAATTAATATAACTTTTATTCATTTCTATGTTTACAGTGTTCGTGAGCATGAGAGATTTCTCAACGTTAGTCAGGAGGGATCATATGTTTAATGAATAGAATTTTGCTACACCGGACAGAAAGAGTCATTTGTTTAATCAATAAAGTCACTATGCTGTGAAGATGCGTCAGCTCACAAAACTGTACTGAGCGAATGCAGAAGTTTAGCAAGGATGCAAACTCTTGTGAGTAGATATCCGACTTCTTGGGTGCAATAATGTTACAGCTGAACTCCAATTGTACTGACTCTCCTGTACTGACAATGCTTAGTCTCATTTCACTGCCCACTGTGAGCTGGACTTTCCCTGGCTATTATTTCTCTGTTATGGAGCTTCTACATCCCATGTGGATATTACCTAAGGCTGCTTGCCTAGGGACGTCCATGCCTTCAGATTGGCACCCACTCAAGAGCCAGCACACATCTTGCATCAGATCTGGTGGCTTATAAGAGGTATGTTGGATCAGGGTGCTGTGATGTTATCATAAAGCTATGTACAGCACCCTGCTGGCTCTAATCTCCAGCCCCATTGTTCCTGCATTGCATAGAGAAGCAGAGAGGTGCAGTTCTGACAGCACTCTAATGCCTCATGCACACTAGCATCAAAAAGGACCATTTAGGTTTGCAAAGAAAGCATAGTTAAACAGATCTGGATGCATCTTATGGGCATCTAGACAGATTGTACACTAGATGTTCAGGAACATTTAAAAGCTCAATGTTTCAACAGAAATATTAGCGTTTACGCTGTTTAGTGTTGGTTTTCAGGAGTTGAATGTAGCTGAATAGACTTAAATGCAACTGAACGCATCTAAACCTGCTTTAAACAGGAACATTTAAATGCAGAAAAAATTATCTGGGAGGATTAATTTTGTTTTACTGTTGAAACACACACTTTTCAAGTTAGGATGTGTGGCTGTGTCTGTGCAGCCACTGAGCACTCATAGAGTAACATAGGCTGCCTGCATGCAGCTACAGACACGTAAATAGACAACGTATTACAGCATGCATGAATGAGGCCTTTGACACAGCATTTAAAACCTGACAGACATTCCACCTCCTCTACATTGTCTTTTGTAAATGCCACTTTTCTTCCTGGAGGTATTTTAAAACACTTCCTACCCCTGCGTTGTCCTGTTTTAAGAGCAGCCAAACAAAAAATTGTTGCTAGATAATGGTGGGCTTGAAGACCATAAATCTTATTAAAAATTATGCCCTACCCTAGGGACTACTTATATTAACCCTTTCTGTAATCCCAGTGCTCACACTAAAGTGTATGTAAAGCCAGAATTTTTTTGCTTTTTTACATTTGCATGTAGTGGGGCTCTATTGCTGTCTTGGTTGTTCTGCTTTGTCTATTCCCACTGGGAAGATTCACTCTCCTTATCTGTCTTTGTCACTAGGCATACATAGATTGTAAATGCTAAATTAAATAATTGTTACCGGAATGGGAATATAAGAGAGAGCTTCTAATGAGGACACCTAACAGGGTATTGGGTCCTCTGCTTTCCCATCATGTCTCTGAGACAGCAAGTTAAATTAAGTGTTTCCAAAAAAACCTGAAATGAGTTTTAGGCATTCTCTACATGAAAAAACAGAAGCGTGTAGGGTTAGGTGGGGTAGTACCTCCTCCATGCTCACCAGTAACTCATTAGGCACCAAGTGTGGGTCACATAGGAGGCCTATTCCAGGGTGGGTTCTTTGGACTATACCAGGTGTTGAACGTGGTAACTTACCCTTGCATGTGGGGTAACGCTTTGACCAAAGGCGTGCTCACCAATACCCGGAACCAGGTAGGAGCTGCGGTCATGTGAAAAATCCAACATTAAGGCGACTTTCCAACTTGAAGATGAGCTGCATGTGTGCAGTACCCAAAGTATGGCGTTCCTTCTTAAGCTGCTTCGTCCCATGTCCTACATAGTTGTATTGATGTATGTGTTGCAATTGAAAGGACAGGCTGAGCCTCTGCCCAGTTCACCGGTCAGTGTACTTCTGTTGCCTCACTCCCATTAACAGAATGGGGTCCTGCTGAGAACATAGTGTGGACCTCATACGTGCTCTCACTAAATTCATCTCTTCCTGTACCTAGTGATCAGGCCTTAGATCTTTGTAATACTAGTCTATTCCCTGTGACTGGCAGAGACTGACAGCTAAGGAGGGAGTCAAAGCACCAACCCCCTCACTACTGGTTACCAGACTCCTAACAGGTACCATGCCAGTGACTGTTTGCTATTTCTCTCTTGCGAATACTCATGAACCTCTGTTGTAGTTGCACATTCCCCATTCTGTGGTAGTGAACCCAAGTTCTTTAGTAACCACGCACACACCCCTTGAATAACTTCAGAACAGACTCTAAGCAGTAGAATCAATTTTTACAACGAACTTGGCAAAATATACTCTCCAGCCACTTTATTAGTTACACTATGCTAGTACAGGGTTGGACCCCCCAGCACTGCCTTAATTCTTCTTTGAGAAAAGTCCATTCTTGATGATGCTCTAACAGAGAGAATTCCATGTTCCAAGGTTCTTCTGGTGAGTCGGCATTCCGGAGTGGACCGGAGGTCCCCGCAAGTCTTTACTTGTATGTATTCCCCATGCATTTCTTCCAGTGTTCCCCAGATTCTTCTGAGCCCTCTCCCAAGCTTCTCCTTTGCTTTTCTCCCTTCTCCTCTCAACACTGGGGCCCTGACCTCTTGCTTTTTAAAGAACACTGGAGGGAGGCCGAACCCCAGTGAAAGCCCATAAACACACCTGGGAAAGGCAGCAAGACATAAACTCTTTCCCCCTGACCTGAGCAGCTGGGCACTAACTACACAGTAGGCTACATGCCTATACACTTTACCCTCCCTAATGCCCTAACCCTACTTTCTTCATCAGGATCCTGGGCACAGAGAACCCCAGCCCATATGCGTCAGAAGGTATCTATGCCATGGACCAAGCTCAAGAATTTGGTTGTGCTCAGAAGGGAAGAAATTAACATATTTGCTGATAGTAATAGCAAAGGTAGCTGAGAGCAGTGTGTGATTTAAATGTCTCCTACTAGTGGCATAAGTATACTTGTTACCTTATCTCGCATACACTATACCAGGTAATTTATTCTGCGACACACTGTACATGTGTAGTGGTCCCCTTGCTGTATGTTAGTAGGTGAACCTATTTATTGCATTATTGTTTATATGCAGCTATTGTTGATCTACTTAACCCTGTCCCTTCTGGTCTAGCATTCTAATATAGCTATTTTAAGATCGGCATTCAATAACCAGCATAGGCTAGAGCCAGGTTAGGCATCTGACAGTTAAAGTTCTGGATTCATGACAGATTAGATGCTACTAGGGACTAAGTGCAGTGTAGATAAGGCTGACTTTGAGTTCAGTGCCTAATTGGTTTCTGCTGATGAAAAGCTGTGTTCCTGGCTGGTTGGACTATGGTTGGAGGGTCTCCTCATTGTCACAGATCTTGTACTTGGGTTTCCCAGATCATGATCATCCACAGGCTCCCATGCAACGTTATTGCAACATTCATCTGAAGATACATTATTGCTGTATATAACTGGGTATATGTGCACAATTCCACCAGTACTCTTGTTGGGCCCTTTGCTAATACCTGTTTGTACATTGGATGTATGTACTATTATTAATCTTTTATTATATGAAGCTCATATTATTTCCATACTGATATGTATCTAAATACTTAAGGCTAATGTTATAAGCTGGTTACAGTAGTTCTTCTGCTTCCAATTAAATTGATTTGATTACTGGATAATTTCCCAGGAAACATCCCCTCTGTTCACCAAAGCCCTGTACTGGGCACTGCTAGCTTTATTATCATTCCCACTTAACAAAAAAGTTCTGGTCCTCTTATTTACATACTTGTTTTGTGCAATATCCTGTTTGGCATAAACCACCCCAAAAAAAGAGGGCTACATATTTATTTTTTGCATAAAATATCTACATCTATATCGCTACTACTTCTTCAGTGACACGCAGTACAAGAGTGTGTGAGTTGTTGGTGGAGTTTGGAATAAGATATGACTTGGGTTATACGGCACCTTTAGTACTTTTGAACAGACCAGGAACTTTGCGCTCTTTAGGTAATCTGCTTATACTGTGATTTTTTTTCATCTTTGAACATTATTCCAAATCCAGTGAGAATATGATTTTAGTTGGCTGCATCTATTTTTCCTTGTATAGTCGATTGTTGCAGATGCCAACATATACACAGACTGGTTAAATTATAATTTGAAAGGAATTACTGCAGTCCTTGCTTTTCAATGGATTGTTCCTTCTTCCGCATCACAAAACAAGAATGTGTGGTTTACATAACTATATAATTTAATAACCATATTGATTGCAGAACAAAGCCTGTTATTTATAGGTGGTGGTGGTGGTAGCTTTCCTTCAGATCAACCAAGAATGAGATGAAAATATTTGCTGAAAGTTTATAATTTTCAGTCATTGTTTTTTTTAAAGCAGTTATGTATTGGGCCTTGCATTTGCAATCTTGATGATGTTTCCAGCTTTGGGGAACTGCAAATGTAAATGTAATCAGTTGCATTGGGTACTATCTTAAACTTTAGTGTTTGCATTTTTTGATCCACTTCTTTTTTGAATGGTAAAAAAAAAAAAATTTTGTAAAAAAATATACCTTTTCTGTAAGTCAGATAAAAATGAAATGTTACATATATATAATTACCATTTCATCCAGCTGGTAGTGCTCCAGGCTCCTTTTAACATATATTTGAGATGCTTCCCTTAAAGCTTTTCTAGAAAAAGCGTGTTATAAAGAGTAATCCCACAAGCTCACATTTACAAGAGTCAGAGAAGCGACTTATCACTTTCCCAGCCTCTATTGTGATTAGTAGAAAAAAAACATGCACTAATTTAAGGAGTGCCAGGCCAAAGCTTAAGAGTTCAAATTCATTTATTAGTTTAAAAAAAAAGTCAACATGTTTCGGGAGTCAGGAAAAACTCCCCCTTCATCAGGGCTTCTGTTAAGATAAAAGTCTTGAATGGTCTCAAAATAGAGCTTTCCTGTATGAATCTGTGTAGGGAAGCTAATTGCTGGATCAGACTACCTATAATGACTATTATATTTTATAATGTGAAGTAGAATGAAAGGGTTTTTTTATTTTCTTTCTTCATTTTAGATGGTGTAGGGGAGAGTTATAATCCCTGTCCTTTTTTTATACAACTGGTAGGCAATTTGTTAAATTCTGAGGCTCTCACAAATGATATAATGGATATCAGAATGAAAAGAGAAACACCGTCTAGATCAGGGGTGGGTAAACTTTTTGACTTGAGGGTCGCAATGGGTTCATATATTGGACCCGGGGGCCGGACCAAGAGTAGATGAATGATGTGTATGTGTCATCCATAGTAAGTATAGTAATATTCCCCCATAGTAAGCATAGTAATTAATCCCCCATATAGTAATTCATCCCCCATAGTAATTAATCCCCCATATAGTAATTCATCCCCCATAGTAATTCATCCCCCATATAGTAATTCATCCCCCATATAGTAATTCATCCCCCATATAGTAATTCATCCCCCATATAGTAATTCATCCCCCATAGTAATTCATTCCCCCATAGTAATTCATCCCCCATATTAAGTCCCCAAGTCCCCCCTGTGTCAATTCACTTACCTTTGCTCCGCGCGTTCCTCTCGCCGTGTTCCCGCGCCGTTCCGGAGTAGCATGAAAATCTGTCTCCTATGAGGATCTGTCCCCCTCTACGTATCTGCGCATGTGCATTAGCAGCCGATCGGCGATCTCCGGCACATGCGCAGATACGCCGATGGGGACAGATCCTCATAGGAGACAGATTTTCATGCTACACCGGTCTTCAGGGCGGACTGTGAGAGGAGCCTAGCGGGAGCCTAGCTCCGCGGGCCGGATTAAAAGGTCTTCCGGGCCGTATACGGCCCGCGGGCCGTAGTTTGCCCATTGCTGGTCTAGATAGTACTTGTTCAGGGTCACTCGCAGTGCCCCAGCTACAAGTTGGGTTCAGTAACCTATACCAACACTAAATACGCCTTGCTCTCTTATATTCATAACCTGCCTTTTTGAGTTTTTTTTTTTTTTTTTTTTTTATTCACCATATATAGATTTTTTTTTTGTTGTAAAAATATAATTCTTCACAAAAAAATTATAGTGCTCTGTGGCCTTATTACATCTGCTCAGAACAACAAATCTTGAAGAAAGTAAATAAATGTTTGGAATGAGACAATCACGCCTACGCACATAACTTTTGTGGGGTTTAATGAAAAAACAGATGGATCACATATTACAATGGCTTGCATGGATAAGAATCCATCTGGCTATTCCAAACAAAACATGTTATGTCAGCAGGGGAGGAACTTTAAACCTTGCTCTTCAGGAAGTTGAAACACACCAGCTGAAATGTGACATCAGTATCAGTTCTGTGAAGTCTTCATTAAGGATAAAAGCGATGAACAAACCTTGGTATTGTCAGAAAATAATATCAATGTGTTATGTGTTCGTTTCACAAGAGACTTTGGATTTGTGATCAGACTTCACAGCCCAGATCTACTTTGATTACTAGAATGCATGTTACAGTTGTCTTCTTGGGCAAACTAATATTGACTCACTGAAAAAAAAAAATCTGAAACTGAACACAAATAGGAACACTATCTACTGATTAGTTTTTCCCAAATTTTTTAATAATTGGATACTGCACATCCAGCGTTTGGACACTCCTAGTTGTGGCCTCTTATTTTCCGTTTGTGTCCAATAATCCAGAAATTCTCAACCTAACTGGGGCATTTATAAGAAACAAAGTAGCCCCAACTCCTAAAGGCTTAGTTTTATTACTGGTACAAAAAATTATATTCATTATTCCTCTGTACAAAGGAATCACTAAACTTAACATAATTTGGTACCTGTGTGGGGTTTTTTTTTGTAACCTTTTGCATAGGCCGCTGTGATAAACAAGCTAATCCATATAAGTAGTTGAACAGTATTTACGTACAGTGCTATTACAGATATAAAGGTTGCTATTGAAAATGCTAACAACCTGGGTGTCAAGCAGATCTTTTGATTTTAATAGTTATTGAATCTAAACATGTATGTAGCATGTTAATTTTGGGAATCAGAACAGCATACTTATTCCAGGTTAATGATAGAAAATAATGAAGCCAAAGAATTAGCTTGAGAAGTAACCAGTTAGCATTTTCAAGAGGTAGAGGGTGAAACCCCCCCCCCCCCCCAAAAAAAAAACAAGGACTGTTATTGTAAACTACAACTTTAATATTTCCAAATGTATGTAATTTTAACATCACAGTTAACCCCTTGACGCTGACGTCACACAAATATGTGACCTCACAGAACTGGGTGTTTTTCCGTGGGGCCGCATATTTGCATACCTGTCTTTGCGCAGGGACAGTGCACTCCCAGCACAAAGACTGGGGTGTCACTGAGAGCCCGGGTCCCGTTCTAACAATCGAGACCCAAGACTCCCTATTCTGGGTCACATGATTGCTTTGATAGCCTCTGATTGGCTATTACAGTGTTCAGTTGCTGCGAAGCCTGCCCCCGTTGGTTTTTTTCTCTCTGAATGGAGGAGACAGATATATTGTATCTCTCTCTCCCATTGCATAGAGAAAAAAAAGTTTGTTAAAAAAAAAGATAAATATTAAAAAATAAAGAAACAATACCTAGATCAAGGTCTGATCTAGTTCAGTGCCAGGGTAAGTGTTTGGGTCAAAGTCAGGGTTAAAGGTCATGATTTGTTTTCTACATTTTTTTTTCTACATTGGTATCCGTGTTAGTGTCAGTGTGTTTTTAGGTAAAAAAAAAAAAAAAAAAAGCGCACTATTGTTTCTGGGCAGTAGTACAGATACAAACAACAAATAACATACACATATATGGTATCGCTGCAATCGTCAAGACCTGGAAAATTTATTTTGGGTTTTTCTTTGGTGGTAGGTTATGGTAGTAACAAAAACAGCTAACTTAAAAAATATATTTTTTTTTACTATTTTGGGCCAGTTTTCCTTTGATAGTAAACAAAAAAAATCAATTACCTTTTACCACCAAATGAAAGCCCAATTTGTCCTGAAAAAAACGCGGTATAATTCACCTGGATGTACAAAGTAGTTGTGATGATATGTATGGTTTTACTAGCACATGTCAACATTGTAAAATTTTTCTTGGGCTTTAAGATTTGTTTTACCCTTAGGCTTGAAGGGGTTAATATCAACTTTTAGGATTCCCTGGGTGTATGATAAAGTACTCTGAAATCCTTCAGAAGAGTCCAATTTGGCCAAGCCTTGTTTTTATTTTTGGAGCCGGATGGGTAGAAACATGTGTCAGGTTTCTATGTTGTGTGTCAGCAGGTTTCCTAACAGACAACTCCCAAATACTGACAGAGGGATATCACTTCTGTCCAGTCTACTTTCCCTTGAATTCTTGCCTCAGTAACGTACATGAGGGGACATTTTCTGAATGGGCACACAGCAGAAAAATCTATCTGATATTTTTACCTATCCTTATGCTAACCAAAATTAAAGAAAAAAGAAATGTATTATTTGCTATTTTTATTACAAATATTTATATCACTCGGACAGTTTATATATGCGGAACATTCACATGATTCTGGGCTTTGAATTGAGCTGAAAGTAAACTAGATTAAGTTAAAGTATAACTATAGGCATTTTTTTATTATGGATAGAGCAGGGGAGGGTTCTTATTAACAAATGAATATTGTATTAATAATAAATAATACTAATAAAAATAATAGTGATCACACTATTTTGTGTGTAGTTGAATCACAATAGGTCTGTTAGTGACCATTGGTTTATATTATATATTCACTGGGTTTTATATTTGTTTTTTTCTCTCAGATACCCCATAAGGGATGTGATCACTATTTAATATTTTTTTATTATTATTAATACAATATTCATTTGTTAATAAGAGCACTACACTATTTTTCTGTATTTAGTTTTTTCACTTATAGGTAATACGGTGCAGGTGTTAGCAGCTTTTATCTGTAACGAGCTACATTCACTATTTAGAGCACAGGAGGTTTCCATTATACATAGCAGGGGAGGGTTATAACCTCTGTCAGATTTTTGTTTTCTGTGTCCCATGTCAGAGATTTTTTCTTCACTTCCTGTCCCATAACAGGAATTAAGAGGAAATCCTTGCAAAGTAAGAGAATTCCATGAACCCCCCCAGGTCACCAGAACTAGTGTTCCCATTGAAATATTTCCCCTTGATTACATTTCTGAAGACAACCCAAAATTAGATTTTTTTTTTCACTTTCAATTATAACGGTAAACAGGACAAATAGAGAGGGTGAATCTCCCCAGCGAGGGCTGAGACAGCAATAAAAACTGAAGTGTTCTAATCCTTTTCCACTCTATCCAAAAGTAAAACAAAAAGTTTTGCCTGTAGTTATACTTTAGCTTGTAGACTAATTTGCGTAAGAGTAGTGTGCATTCCTAGGAAGCAGAATTGTACCTTTACCATACATTGTACTAAAAGATGCTTTTTAATTATTTATACAGAACTCAATAAGGCACAGTTCAGGCGGAGTTAGTATGGTATGTGAATTTTGACCTATATTGCATTTTTGGCATTATTGTTGGAAGTAGGATAATCTGTTGGTGGTCTTACTGGATTACTTGTATAAATATTGTTGTTTATGCTTCATTTTTGAGTATGAACTTAATGTAAAGTTGGACCGTTTAGACAGACAAAGCTGAAGTTCAGCCCCTGCAGTTGCCTGTCGCATAATGCACGAGAATAAAATGCTGCAACAAGGGTTTTATAGTTTTAGAATGAATGGAGGAAGGGTTACTGTTTTCGGTTCCATTTGGGAGATTTCACTTGTAACAATGAAATCCATCATGTCTCAACCTCCTCCAGTCTATTAAAAATAAAAACGGTTTACTTGGATTTAAGCGTCAAAGAAAATCTGAGGTTTCACACATCCAAATTTCCTTTAGTTTTTGTTTTCCTTACTGCTTGGCTTATTAACAGCATATTTTAGTTGCTGCGTGCAACTTAGTTTTTTATTGTTTTGGGAGGAAAAGTCCTGATTAAAGTGACTGAAATGGAGGAAATATAGGGGCTGCCATTGCTCCTTTTCTTATAAGAATCCTAGGTGCTTGTCTGTGCCTAACTTCAGTACTTGAAATACAGTCCATTTCAAACCTGGAACAAGTTTGCAGTAGTAGAGTTGTCAGACAAGTGTCAGAATGACTTATTTGTTCTGGGTCAATACATTAGAAAGCATTGAAGTCCAAGCATCAGAATGAGATGAAATAGGAAGGCGCTTCTAAGTGCAGTATTCCAAGGTCAACTTTTAATAAAAGAGGTTAAAGACAATTATAATGTGGTAGTATAAACAAGCTCTAATGTAATTCGTCAATGGCAGGGCTCTGCCATCAGCTGCAGGGGGAGCTTGAGAAGAGGTGTTAAAGATGGCCGCAGCTCTATCCGGACCGCTGGAACGCACGCTGTCCACAGACTGGAAGTGATGTGAGCATGGAGTGGTGATGCGTTTTGGACCAGGCTCAGAGCTCCTTCTTCAATATCTGTTTGGAGGGAAGAAGCTCTGCGCATGCTCCGAAATGCGTCACCGCTCCATGCTCACGTCACTTCCGATTCCGCGGACAGCGTGCGCTCCAGTGGTCCGGATAGAGCTGCGCCATCTTTAACACCTCTTCTCAAGCTCCCCCTGCAACTGCTAGCTGGCACAGCAGATCCATCACTTAGAAGACATAGCCCTGCTATTGACGGATTACATTAGAGCCTGTTAATGCTACCACATTGTAAGTGTTTTTAACTGATTTTATTAAAAGTTGACCTTGGAATACTGCACTTGGAAGCGCCTTCCTGTTTCATCTTCTTCTGCACAGAGTTTGCTTCCACTCTTTAGAAGTGCTGCTCAGTACTGGTTTTCCTATACATCATCCATCATTGGCTGCCATACTTCCACAGCATCATCCACCAACGCACCCTGCTACCCACTTTACTTTAAGCATCAGAATGACAACCAGGGAACTAGCATTTTTAGGACAGGTTAGCAAAACCGGCTTCTATTAATCTCTTATGAAAGATTCCTTTTAAGTAAACTGAAATGTGGTTGCTATGAGTTACTGCACTTTGCACATATTTATCTTTTTCACTTCATTAGCAGGTTGGAAGGAGCTCCATTGACTGTGGTAAAGTTGGACTGTCCAACGTGATATCTGCTAGACGTTATATGTTCACTTAAACTGCTGGAACTAGAACATGTAACAGTCATGACCGGTTCATCACCCCTTTTCCATACCTATGCCTTTAATTTCCTTACACGATCTTAAAGTAAGCTGTGTGGGTGGCTAAGGATGCCTGTGGTCATCAAACTCTATATGCGCTTTTTTAAACAGTCTTGCTGTGGTTAAACCATGAAGTGGGATTGGGAAATTGCAATGTGATATCTATGAGAGACAGCATGCCCATTCTTTTTGCTATAAAATGTAGAATCAACTCACAGGACAAGCTAAGCGCATGGCATGTCAAACTTGAAGGTTTGATTTGCCCATTTCGGCAGTTTTTGGCCTACTTCTGTAGTTTTCTGGCTCCTAAGAAAAACAAAATTAAAAATTAGGACCAGCTCAGAAACTCATCACTCCATGAATATAAAGTGGTTATTTACCTGACTTTGTTGCCTGAGATTAGTCTCCAGGCTACAAGGCTACAATAAAGGGCAACTGCTTGGGACCCAGCTGCCAAAATTAGACCTTGCTCAGTATTGTGTATTATAAATTCCAAGCTGGATATACAATGTGCGCATGTATATCTAATAGTATTAACTTTTTTTATTGCTTCAGTTTGCCAATTTATTTTACATCTGCAAAAAATATTTGCGCATATAATTTTCCCCAGCCTTATTACTGCATTTGTTAGGCGTGGTGAACTTCCAGATTTTGCTTTTTTCACCATAAATGTGTAAGGCCAAATCTGTTGTTCTTGGGCCTCTTATGTTTGGATTAGGCCATATTTTCTAGGATCCTTGGGAAAACACGCCACGATTGCGGCAAAAACACTCTGCGTTTTCAGGTGCCATTGAAATGAACCACCTGAATTGCACCTGACCATTCAATCTTGCTTTTTTCACATTTCATGGTGCGTTTTCAAATCGTGGGCAGAATCGTGGTAATTCTGCCCGCAATTTGAAATGCTCTAGTGTGAATGGAGCCTTATACTCATTACACTGCATGAATACAAAAAGTTTAGGCTAACTTCACATCTCTGTATGTTGTGGTCACACAAGGTCAGTGCTGCAGTGTGGTTTCATTTATTCTGAACTGCACCCATCCGCACCTTGCAAGCACACCCCAATGCTCCGGCAATGCAGTGCACCAGATTGCATAGATGGAAACCATCTGTGTGTTGTGTTATCTTGTGTTAGAAAAAATAAATGCTTTTCCAGTTTTAGGTGCATTGTGATGTGTTGGCAGAAAGTTCAAAATGAATGGGCTGCCTTTAATGCAACACTTTATATTGTGCATGGTAACACATTGGGGCCTTATGTTTAAAGGGTGTAGGGAAGCGGTCTCCAAACTCCAAACCCAGGGGACAGATGTGGCCCCTTGTTTGCTGTTATCCGGCCCTCGGGGCACTATTTTTATCCACTGATAACAATGGGGCATAATTACCTTCCAGTGAGAGCATGAAGGAGCATAATTCCTCCCAATGACACCAACAGTGGGGCACAGTTCCTCCCAATGACACCAACAATGGTGCACAATTACTCCCACTGACACCAAGGATGTAGCATTGTTTATTCACAGTGACCTCAGGGCATTTTCTACTCCTAATGGCCGCAGTCCGGCCCCCTTTAGCTCTGAATGACAGTAAACTGTCCCTTTTTTAAAAAGTTTGAAGACCTCTGGTATAGGACATTCCTTAAACATGCTTTTTACAGCAAAACTTTCAACTGTACTTTCATTATTTCCATTATGAACACAGATTACTTATGACGTTAGTTTCAACCCATTTAGATTAATTAAAGCTGAACTCCAGGCAAATGAAAAATGCTCCTCTGAAGTGGGGGCGCCTTTGCACTGCAAGGGTTACATGCTCATTCTGGTTGGGCTAATGCAAAAATGTACCTGATCCTCTACTCCTACAGGCTCCCTTTAGTTGTAAGACTGGTCTCTGAAGCCTCTCCTACACTATCCTTTTGTGGTCATACGT